AGCTAAAGTGGCATTGACATGACATGTCTATTTCTAAGTGTGTGACACATGTCATACGTAAGATCGCAAAAGAATAACTCATTCAAAACAATTTAAAAAATATAAGAATCAAATTATTATTATTATTAAATTTCTATGTTATTGTGTTTTTAAGTTCATATCTTGAATATCGTAAAACGTGTTATATGTGGACTCTATCATAGTAAAACTCTACAAAGTTTTTTTTTATATATATAAAAAGTTATAATAAGTTAAAAATAATAAGATACATGCAAAACAAACCTAAAATACAATTAAAAAAATAGAGTTTTTCTTTAAAGATCAAATTATTATTATTATTATATATTATTATTATTATTATATATAATTGTCATGTTACTATGCTTTTAAGACCTCATCTTGAATGTCGTAAAATGTATTATATGTGAGATTCCATGTAGTAAAACTCTAAAGAGTATTTTTTTTAAAAAAAAATTATTATAATAAGTCATAAAATAATGAAATGATATGTAATTAAAAAAAAAGAAAGAAAAAAAAACCTAACATACAATCAAATATTCAAAATTTTTAATTTTTTTTATGAAAGATTAGATCCATTAACTAAAGATCACGTGACTGATTGATATTGCACCATCACCACATTTTTATTTTAATAAATGCATGTTATTTTTTTCTTACGTATTATTTTATTATTTTTAACTTATTATAAAAAATTTCTTTATAAAAAAAATATTTTTCAGAGTTTGTTTACATATGACACATTTTGCATCATTCAAGATGAGATCTTAAAACACAAGGATATAAACATTAAAAATTTAATTCCACTCGAATTATTTTGATTGAAGTTTTATATTTTTTGAATTATTTTGATTTAGTCCTTCTATTGGAATTTTACATATGATATGTATAACATATTAAGAAGTGTTAATGCCACGTCATCTCATAACTACAGTGTTATAACAAAGGGTTTTAATGAAACAAAATGAAGAATATAGAATCTCAATCAACACAAAAAGAGTAAAGGATCTCAATCAAAATAATTGAAATAGTAGAGGATCTAGATATAGACAAAATCTATTTAGTACATATTAAAAATGACAACTAAATTATGATTGAATACAAGAGGCATAGTCTAGAAATTTTGTAATTGATAACTTCTTTTGGTAAAATAGATTCGAGTGTCAATGGTTCTAATTTATTTGGTTATTGTGTAATAGAAGAGAATAATTTATTTGGTCATTATATAGTCTAAAATTCAATACGCCTTCTAGTGAAAAAGAAAATCTCTATTAGACCCCATTGTTGAAAAAAAGTATGACTGAAGGATGAAATTTAATTAGCCTCTCAAAACCATAATAAACTTCTTGATTACATGGTGATGGCTTTGTTAATCTCCCTTGTCATAACAAGTCACACTTTGAGTTGCTCAAATAAGAACACATAGTCACATCCAACAAGGATAAGGAAACTCAAATGTGTGTCCTGCATTAACTTGGGACAAAAACAGGTATAACAATGTTAGAAGTCGGCAGACGATGAAGAAAGGGAAACCACGATAGGTTTGAGGAGGATGGATAGACATGAAACAATAGGCCCAAAAGATTGATACAAACGTGTATTGGGCTAGGATTCACCAGGTTGCAGCGCACCGTCGCCGCTTTTGTCTGTTTGTCCTTTGTTTGAGGATTAGATCCTCCATCCTCGTCCATTCATGCCTTTTTATTTTGGTCTCTCGAAATTTCAGGCACGATCAACAATTATCACCTGCATGCTAATCTTGAAGAGATGGGCCTTTACTTTTGCATATTTGTAGCAATGCCCTCCTTGAATTTGAAAGTTAACAATCACCCCCACCAATTAGGCATTTTATCAAATCCGAAACCTTGAACTGCATTATTGATCAAAGAAAATGAACAGGGAATGAAGGAATTTTGATGATTCTTTGGAGCACTCGTGAACCTGGATGACTTCTAGGGCATGTTCAAGTGAGCAAATAAAAGGTGATATCATGTCATAGTTTTGTCATGTATCTTGGTTGAACTTGGCCAGTATAATGGGTGTAATTCACAACACGAGATCCCTATAGAACGAGAGACAAGCCATTTTCCATGTTACAATCATGCATGATTAATTAATTTAGCTTGTAGAAGTTGGTACAGATAGGTCAGTGCAGGGCTGGTCCTTTATTTTACTTCAAATCAGAAATCGTTCGGAAAGTCATGTGACGGTTCTAAATAATCCAATTCACATGTGTGAGAAATGAAATTTTGAAATGGGAATCGTTGGTTTTTAATGTTAATGTGATTCAAATTTTGGATTCGGTGAATTGATTTAAATTGTCTTACATATAGAGAGAGACTTTCAAATGAGTTTTTTATTATTATTATTATTATTAAGTTGTTCACACTATAATTTTTTTATATGTATTTCAAACTCAAAATCTCTTGTCACCACTTATCAATGGGATAACAAGTCACGTTACCATACTCTACCCATAGAAGCAACAAGTTTGTGATAAAATATTGAAACTTTTTTCTGTTAACAAATTCGATAGATATACCATTTAAAACTTATTTAATCCTGTAATTCTATGTTTTAATTTGGTCCATTAGATTTTTGAATGAACCTTCAGTCCATATAAATCAACAACAAAAAATATAAAATATTGAGAACAATAAACAAAATAAAAATAGAAATTTTAGATCATATAGATCTAAATCCATAATTATTTAGACTATTAAAAACATTAGATCTAAAAACTAGATTTGAAATTATTAAAAAAATAACAAAATAAAAAAATAAGAGAAAGATTAAGGCTATTGCCGATGATTATTTAATCATAGTGAAAACCCAAAAAAAAAAAAAAAGTTATTGAATGCGGAGGGGAAAGATAGCCAATATGTACACATATATTGTCTAGCTACTGCTTTGTACAGTTGACTGCAAGTTGCAAAAGCTAAAGCACAAAGTGAACGGCTAATTGATCCTAAGTATTTGACATACCCAATATTCATAATAGGCCCAAAATTCTAAGGGGCATTTCGGTCAATTTGATGGGTGATTTGATTTGACTAAAAAACTTATTAACCATGGATTCTTTGATTAAGCAAAACAATTAAACAAAAAAAAAACATGCATGATGACTTCTCGAAAAATCAAGAAAATAAGACACATCCAACAACAAACAATCAAATTTAAGAATACTTAATTATAAACAATAACAATTCTTGAAATACCATCATAAGTTTCAATATACTTAAAACTTATTAGATAATAAATTGTAAGCCACAATTAAATTAAATTAATAAATTTGTAAGCTAATAATTTTGTTTTTTAGTCTATCTTATGTCCACAACTCATTTATGTGGTCTTCAAAAATTAAATTCATATGAGAATATTATACCCGGAAGAAGAGTTTGAGTTTGTAAGCATCAAATTCTCGTCAAGAAAAGTAAGTTTTCATTAATAGAGTTAATTCATAAGAAATCAAGTTTGAAAGTTGAGATGTTTTGCACCCCACTATTTGGAATTGCAAAATGACCCGACCCGAGGTTGTCCCGCCTCGCCCCGATCAACGCTGGAACTCTTCGCATTGATTGGGGAATGAGATGGGGCGCCCCGCCCCGTAATGTTTTTGGACGGGGAAAGGATTTGTCCACCCCGTCCCGTTTTACCCCGTCAATAGTGACTTATAGTAGAATTCGTGTGATTTGATCTCTTGTTTGGGAAACAAATTATGTAAATTGTGTGTACTTATTATAAAATCTGTCAAAACGGAACAAAATAGGACGAGACGGGACGGACACAAACAGTAAAACGGGGCCTTGTTTGCCCTTCGAGGATCCCTCGTCCTCATTTGGGGCGGGGATGGGATGGAAAATTCTATCCCGTTCGGGACACGGGGCGGGAATGGAGAATTTTTTAACCTCATCCCCGCCCCGCCTCACCCGGCCCCATTGCCATCCCTACCCACTATCCAACTTTTTTTTTTTGTTACAAAATCTTATTAATTAAAATAGATTAAAAAAAAAACTCGTAAAATAGCATCAAAATAGTATATCAAATGGGATATACTCAAACAAAGAAATTGATTAAATAACCCGATGGATAACTCTAGCTCATACTTTATAGTGAACTATGCTGGAATACAACCAATCAGTGAATTAATTAAGTTGTATACAAATGATCCAAATATCCTTTAGCTGATGAAACAAACAGCAAATTGGAATCCACATGCATATAATGATCAGTAGCTGACTAGTAATTAAAGGAGCAAGATCATTAGTCCAATAAGAGCCCTGGCTCATGAAAATTGATATTAAAAAATTGTGATGAGAAGCAAAAAAGAAAAAAAGAAATGAAAAGAAAATGTATGAGGAACAATGTTTTCATTATGTTTTGTAAACCGTGAATCAAACAAGGAAATTGTTGTAACAAAAAGAAAGAACACTAGTTATATATGAAGTATGCCAGAAGATGTCATCATGTTCTTGTCATTTTGCAATTATTTTCGTTTTGTTTTTATACATTAAGTTTCTGATGCATATTGTCCGTCAATTGTGCTTTAGCTATGCCAATCCAAAGCATCAAAACTCAACTACAAGAATATGCCAACTGCACATAAATACAAAAAAAGTTACAACTCTTACAAAAGTAACTCAAAACTTTGAGCATCACAATCTCGCAATTGAAGAATATGCGGCGTACGACATTGCAACATATCTTTTTGACTTCTCTTAATTTTACTTTCGCAAATCGACCCCTCAAAAACGAAAAACATAGACGTTTTTGTTTGTATTAAGGAGTTTGGCTAATCTTTAAACACGTTCTAGCTATATATATTGCAAGTAGCAGACCTTAAGAGTCTTCTAATATATTGATAGACCTAGTGTTTTGTAGTAATGTTTATAGCTTTTGTTCTCTTCCTTTATTTATAGATAACCATCCTGAGTACTAAAACACTCGAAAGAGAGGAGAGGGAGACGGAGATCTAGTTGGCCATGTCTTTAGCTTATTGTGTCAAGGAACAGAAACCTTGTGTCCGTTGGGTTGAGAAGTACTTCAAGGACTGCCTATGCAGTCTAAAAGATGAATTCTCTTTTGGTTTTGGGCTCATTAGTCTAGTGTGTTGGGGAGTTGCAGAAATCCCTCAGATCATCACCAACTTTCGCACGAAGTCCAGCCATGGAGTCTCTCTCGCTTTTCTCCTCACTTGGGTTGCCGGGTCAGTCATCTTCTCCACGCACACACTCTCTTCTCTGTTAAAAATACAGAGACTTATATTTTATATATGCACAGCTACATTTAAGAACAAAAAAAGATACTAAAACACAGGCCAAACTAGATTTTGATTTCGATTTGTATGAACTTCACTTACTAACTTGCTAAATTAAACAAAATATTTTATTTTTTATTTTATTTTACTTACTTAAATATCAATATCTTTTCCTGGTGCAGAGATATCTTTAATTTGGTGGGCTGCTTACTGGAGCCAGCAACGGTGAGTGTTTAGGCCAAGTAAATTTCACAGAGCCATAGAATTGGCAGTGGCCCTCCATAGAAAATGACCTCATCATTTATGTTATAAGATTGCTGCATGTCAGCTTATCCATTATGACTTCGGTATTGAATATAAAAAAATAATACTGTATCTATTCATTGATCTGATGGTTTTCTTCTTTTTTTGTTTTCTGGATGCAGTTGCCAACCCAGTATTACACTGCTCTGGTAAGGGCAATTCTGGCTAGGTCTATATTCGTTTTCACTTGAGTATTGCAAAATGAACCTCCAATATGTTAATATTGCAAGTAGAACCTTGATAAGAACAAGTTGGCTTAGTGGCGGCTGACAAGGCTGGTCCGAATTTAAGCTTTTCTTGTCTGCCATACATCAACTTTTTCTCAGATCTACGTATATTAACGGATAAAATAGAATAAAACTCCAAATCTCGCGTGCAAGTTTTATCGGCCTAGTTAACTGTGGTCCTTTCCCAAAGCCTTTCTCCAAGGTTAATCCAGCCCAAGCTTATCCTAATTATGCCTTGGATTGTAGATTGATGAGGTAGAATCTTCTTGTTGAATTAAGTGATTGTTAGTAATTAATTAATACCTAAATACATGGTTATTCTCTATCAGGAAAATCATTAAATTGTTATCTTAATTTGTTGAATATCATGTCATGTGCAGAAAGCATAATGATTTATAATCTTTTCTTCTTTGACAGCTTTACACAGCAAGCACTGTAGTGCTAGTGTTGCAGGGTCTATACTATGATCATGTCTACAGGTGGTGGAGATGCAGGAAAACCAAAATGAACCAACAAGTATTGTTCCTTCCCATCAGCTCCCAGATGACAAATTCATCTCTTTCTTTCTGTACTCTTCTTTCAATGTCGACATGTTTACAATATACCAAATGATCGCTTGTTATTGCTTTGCGTTAGGTTGACGATGACCGGAAACCATTGAAACCCAAGTCAGCTGATCTCTCAGGCATTCCCATACCCAATGCCTCTCCAAGAGCAACGCTTCGTAGGGAGTTTTATTATACGTATGCACATTCTATCATGCTGAACATTTATTTTGTGACAGCACTAGTAAAGAAAATTGTCATATTTCAAAATTTCTTTATTTCTGTTTCTTTTGGTTTCAGGTCAGCTAGATCTATGGCTGCTAGCGACACTCCACCATTTAGAAGTTACCTGAAGGTAGCCAAAAGTGGCCCCTCAGCTATGGGACTTGACAATGAATCATCTTCAGATGATGAGGCTGCAGCCCCAGCTACAGTCACTAAAACTGTCAGTCAGCCTAGGCCAATTCCCCGATCGGTGAGACTTCAATCTATTCAAAATACATGAGTCCAGGAGATGGAAATTATATAAAAGGTTCTCAGCTTTCTTACAATTTTTTTCAGGCCGGCTATGGAACATTTCTTGCTACATCACTCAACTTGCCCCGAAGCAAGGCTTTGACACAAGCCTACATTGGATTCACTGGACGGAGGCTTTTACATGTACGACCAATTTTTAATTGAAAAATACTTAACCAAATTTCATGCCACAGAATTTTTATTCTAATTACATGCTGTGGTGTGTATATCATCAGGAAGGCGGAGGAATGGAGCATAGTGTGTTTGGACAGTGGTTGGGATGGCTTATGGCTGCTATTTACATGGGTGGCCGAATGCCCCAAATATGGTTAAACGTAAGTACCGTTGGTTAACACTAATCTTTTAAGTCATTGCTCCAAGACTATATATGATTAGCTTTGAATCTAATCCAAGTTGTTGTAATTTGTTGACCAGATTAGAAGAGGGACTGTTGAGGTGATGCTCTTATAAATTTCTCTCTAGACTATGTTCTTATATGTTTCTTTGCAGCCATTGAAGCATCTTGAACTATCCATACTAACAGCATATAATCCTTGTTTTAAAATGAAATTTATATAGGGCTTGAATCCTCTCATGTTCATCTTTGCATTGGTGGCCAATCTCACTTATGTGTTAAGGTCTCTCCCTGATCTCTCTCTCTCACTAACGACAGACACACACATTGAATTGGTAATTAAGAGGACTGACAAGCTTTTCTCCTGATGAATACAGTATTGTTGTGAGAACGACTGAGTGGGACAGCATCAAACCTAACATGCCATGGTTGCTGGACGCTGCAGTCTGCGTGGGGCTTGACTTTTTTGTATCCTCGCTAATTAATCTTATATTAAAGAACATGGCTTCTTCTTCTTCTTCTTTTTCTTTCGCAAACCAAACAAAAAAACAAAGAAAAAACATTCTATGCCTTAACAAGCATTGTAATAGATCATTTTGCAGTACATTTATTACCAATACTTCCGCAAGAAAAGGGTGGAACATGGAGAATCCTGCTACGGAGACTATGTGGAGGCAAGCAAAGCTGCTATTTCTTGATTGCAATTTGAGTTTGTAGTTTGAAGATTCAATGTTTCAGAGTACAACAACATTATTTATGTAAGCTGCTATTTCTGTTTAAGCAATTGTATCTCTCAACAATACCAAGTAATGATGCGTTTGGTACTTCGTTAACGGATTCTTATGTTTAGTTTTTACTTTCTGTCAATAATATCGCGGTTCCTAGTTTTGGATGGATGGCAATGTACAGAGTATTCGACTTATTAATTTAATATTTTATCATATTTATTAAAATAATATTTTATTCATTATTTATTAAAAAATTATCATATAAAATTTTATTTAGCTCATATTAGTTTGCTCCCCATTTAATATCTATTAAATTTAATTTATAAAAAATATTTATTTTAATATCTATAATTTGTAAGAAAAGTTTTTTAATTCTTAATATTTTTTTTCTTGCATTTTGGTCGTTTATTTATAAGTTTTTTGAGTCCTCAAATTTTTAAAAAATATTTTGATACTTGATTTTTTAAATTTTATATAATTAAATCCCTATATGTTAACAAAAAAATTAAATAAATTAATGGCTATTAATAAGATAAAAAGTGGATACTCATACCCTGAAAATATATTAGTGAGTATTTATTTTTTTATCTTAACTCATTTCAATACCCATTAAATATTATTAATAGATATTTATTAAATCGGATAAAGTAGGCACTCGTTTCATAGTCGTCTATGGCCATCTTTATTCCCAAACCATAAGAATGTAGAGGTACTGGCAATTTCTTTGTGGAAATAACTGTTCTGCATCAAAATATGGTTTTTTTTTAAAAAACAATTGCAATTGGGGGAATTTTGTGAACTTTGGGTCATGCAGAAGACCTATTAGGCCCATTAAGCTAAGATAAATATACCGAACCTTTTTGGTCGGCCCAGTACTGCAGCCTGTCTCAACAAGCAAAATTCGTAATGATCAATATATCATCTTTATTTTGGGTATTTTATATAAAGCACTTATAAATTGAAATACAATAAAATTAGTGGGAATAAGAAAACAGCCGTGAATCTACTAGCACCCAATTCAAATATTCCGATAACTGCTAAATTTGCCCACCTAAAGCCCATCAGATAGGGCTTTCTAGTGTTGGCCCAAAATGCTTGGGCCATTGAGAAGATGACAACAACAACCCATTCCTTTTCTTTTCTATGTTTTTCCTGGATATACCATTGTATCATACATCATGAACATTTACAGGGCACCACTACGTACAATACGTAGCAGTCATTTCAACTACCATCTCAATGCAGATTGATGTCACAGTCAATATGTTGATTAGTTTACCGTTTGCATCAACAAATCAAATAATATAATCCTATTGATGTAGCATTTGAGACCTAGTGGAAAGATTCAAAACAATTTTAAAAATATATATATTAAATTATTATTATTTATTTTTCATTGTTGGAGAGTATTATAAATTATTTTTAAAACTTCATTTAATAGTTTAACATTATTTGTTGAAATGATCTTTTGACATGATATCAAAGTTTTGATGATCAAACGATCACGAGTTTGAATCTCATCATTTTTATTTGCTCTTCTAATTAAACACAAGATATTAGTGGTCTTCCGCAAATTTCAAGCCTAAAGAACTTTTCATTTGACTAAAATTATTTCTGAAGTTTCACTTAATAGTTTAAGTTTTTTAATTGAGATGGTTTTTTGACATTTATGTGTATGGTGTGATCTTATTACACTAAAACTCGTGAAGTTTTTTTTAAAAAAAATAAAATAATACATAAAAAAAAGATTAATCTAATATGTAATTATTAAAATAAAAATACAATTATATATGTGCAATATCGATAAGTTAGAGAACCCTTGTTCATAACTCTAATTCTCTACGAAGAGTAAAAATTTTCAAATATTTGACCAATTTCAAGTGAAATATGGGGTTTTTCTATCAAAACATTAGGTATCGCAATTCATTTTCTTCTTTAATATATATAATTAGGTAATAGTCAACATTATTATTGTTTTTATTTTAATTTTGACAAACATATTTATATTTTATTTTATTTTTTTAAATTGCAAGTTACGTTTGTTTTATACGTATTTTATTATTTTTAAATTATTATAATAAATTTTTGTTGTGATAAGGTATCACATATGACATGTTTTACGGTATTCAAGAGAAGGTTTTTAAAAATTAATAACATAGAAATTAAAAAAGAAAAAAACAATAATTTGATCCCTATAGTACTTGAATTGTTATGATTGAAATCTCGATTATATTCTTTGAATTGTTTTGATTTTGAATTGTTTTGATTAAGTTTTTTATTGAGATTTCACGTATAAAACATGTCAAACATTAAAAAGCATAACATTCATGTAATATATATATATATATATATATATATAAAGAGACTGAAATACCGAATTGTAACAACACAGATCAAACAGTATTAAATCATTGTTGAAGCAAAAAGGTTTCCTGATTTCCTCACAAAATCATAATGCCATCCATCCCAAAAGAATGCTACTGTACTCAAGCTAGGATCTGTTTCACTTTCGAGTGTAGCAGCATGTTTAAATTTCATCATTCTGGTGGGAAAGCAATTAATGAAAGTCAATAATATCAATATGAAAACTAGAAACTTGTGTTGTATATTAATTAAGAACTTTTTGTACCTTTATTATTGTATAGCTATTGATCTGATATCAAATCACCCAGATAATATATACACAAAGTTGAATCATATCATGAACATACAATTAATGCAACAAATCTCTATTTAGTGACTTGAAGGCATCAATTAATTCATTATTAGTTGTCCCATTAATGTTAAAATCTTTCACATGGAAGTGCATGTGTCATGTTTGTGAGGGAGACAAGGTGCCATAAGGCATCTGGTGTGTTCATCATTTAAGTGATTTAGTTGAATCTTGACGTTTCATCACTAAAACCTCGATTGAATTACAATTTTTCTGCTTCAAATCAAACATTAAATTAAATGCGGTCGGCAATCAATTTCATTTTATATGTTTATGGTTTGCTTGTCATTCTCCCTTGGTTTTTTGGCAAAGTAACACTAAGCTACGATATTTAGAAATGGATTCGTGCTCATAGTCAACACTACAATATGCTCTACTAATATTTCTGCCCTTCATTCCCAAAAGAAACTATGTTTTTAGGTAGGCGGGCTAAGCGTGTCAACCACTAGAAAGCTACATCTCTCATCCATTTCTTTTTCACATTCAATTGCCTAACATTCAGTGGTCCTTTGGTACGTACGTATATGAAGAAAACAACACCAACTAGAGAATACCCAAGACTACTCTTCATTCAATTTCGAACCATCAATTAATTATTGGATTTTATACATACCGTGACTATATATAATTTAAATTTTTTTTATTGAGATACTAAATTTTTTTTCTATCTATTTTAAAAGTTTTATTCTTATATTATTATTATTTCAAACCCTAATATATCACGCAAGCATACATGACAAGTTTTTATCAATAATAACTTACCACGTGTCATGATAGCCTAAATTACATAATTGAATTAATGAGGTGGCAAGCTATCATTGGCTAAAACTTGTTATATATTCTTACATAATAAGTAGTCATTAGCTATGGTCTGAAATAATAAAGTAGAATTTTTAAATTTGATAGAAAAAAAAATTAGGATCTTAATAAAAAAATTCAAATTATACATAATCTCGATATGAATAAAACTCATTAAAGGTAAGTAAGTACGATTTCACCATAGTTTCGGCTAATTACAATTTCCAACAAGTGTTAATTAGTATTCATGATTCCCCATTTCCGATCTTGCTACATGTGAATTAAGCATAAATATAAGGTGACTCACATTGATCATCTTGTACCTTTAACATTAGTCTATGCCTACAAATTAATTAAAAAAAGAAGAAGAATAGATGCAAAATATTTAATTAAAAGTCTATACATGATCCCTATGAGTTGACGAAGAATAACAACTTCCATTATCATTAATCACTGTTGATTTCAGAAAAATAAGATTTTATTAGCTAGCTGTGATTTTAAAATTAATACTCATACTTGGTTTCTTGGTCACATAATGATCATGCATGATTATGTGTAATTAATAATCTTCCTCTCAATTCAACTAATCCATCCTATGATTTGAACTTAGAAACTTACGTAGTGCGCACCAAATCTATTTAACCTCTTGGAATATGTCCCCTTGTTGTTAGTCATTGGTTATTGTTTGGCTAACTAGTTCTATTTTTCTACAAGTTATGACTTCCATGATTTTTACTATTTTGGATTTGACGTTGATTATATAGGGAGGTAGATGTCACCGACAGCGTTCTGTTCTTAGTTTATTTATTTATTTATTTTTGGGCACTAGAAAGTTGAAACCCTTACTTACTAGGAGTCATCTTGAATCAACAACGTACGTAGGGGAAAAAACGGATTCCTGGTTTCTTGAGGATGATGTTTTTGACTTTGTTCATATTCCATTGATGGGTGTACGTAAGAGAAATCAATTCGATCCCTGCGGTAGAAGACGGGGCCAGCCGCCCAATAAGAACATCACATCTCTAAGTATATTCAATTTCAATTGACACAAAAACAGAATTGAAATACTTTATTATATTTAAACATCAAAAAAAGAAAGAAAAAAAAAGTTACCATCACTTGAATTTCCCTTTTCCTTTTTCTTTTTTAATTTTTAGATTTTAATAGTTGAGATGTTTTGTGTTTCCCTTCAGTACCAAAATTGAATTTAAAAAAAAAAAAAAAAAGTGAAGATGTCACACAAAAATGTGTTGGAGGAAGTTATTATGCAACAGAAAAATTATATTCATTCCCTTATAATTTAGATAATTGAAAAGCAATCAAATTTAATATTATTATGCATTCGATATATTTCTTTAATAAAACCAAATTCAAATTTCAATAATTATAATTTATGTAGTCAAATAAAGGTGCATTTTATAACCCCATAAACCAAAAAAATAATCTGAATTGGTGGGTCGAAATCACATTAATGTCTCTATGTATAAACAACAGGCCTTGGAATTTTTAAAACTTGCATAGATCAAGAAGTTGCCAAAATTTAGGCACTCTAACAATTACTTAGACCAAACCCAGAGGAAGAAGACAGAACAGTTTGGCGATTGGACACTATACAACGACCAAGTGCTACGTATTCTCGAAGAGGTTGGTTATAATTTTTATAATAATAGTCAATTCAATTTGTCGTGATAATACGGTTATTTTTCTATCCCATTAACTATTAATTGTTAATATCATGGTTAGTCTTTAACGTAGGACTGCATGTTTTTATCTATGGCAAAAATAAAATAAAAATAAAGAACTTTGAAATTAATGCAAGTTGATTTGATTAACCAATGGCAGAAAATTCAATACAGAATTATAGCAATGAAAACAAATTTATAAAAATAAATTTTCTATTCGTGCTAGACAGTGATTGAACTTCTATTGTACATGGAGTTATAGATTGTCCCATTTATTCTCAAAAAGGAAAATTAAATTGTCCCACAGAAATTATTATACGATCTACAAAAAGGAATTCTCAACGGGGCAGCATTGATGAAACTTTTAATTATGTTATCTGCCCCCACTACCACTAATCAAATAGGAATTGGTGGCTTTAACATTATTGTAGAATTCAATGTAAAAAAAAAAAAAAAAAAGTTTCATTATTTGGTCAAGCAATTAGTGCTGGGTTTGCGCAGACAAAAGACCCCAAAAAGAAAGGAAAAGAAGAGGAAGATGCATATCAAATAAAGCAGCCATGAAAATAATTGCACTACATTTATTGTAGGAGCATCCAATTACAAAAGATATATATGCGTGTTTATATAATATTTAAAATTTCTCATGTGTTTTAAATTTTTTTATTGTATCTTATTTGTTTATAAAGGTATTTAAAATATTTAATCTGTTTTTTTGATCAATTTTTTTGATCAAATGAAAATTTTTAACCTAAATATCGTTAATTGAAATACAAAAATAAAATAAAATTCTAAAAACTTTAAAATATATATATATATGTTGTGTGACTTTAATTTTTTTTTTTCACATTTTAATAAAGAGCCTTTTGATCAAATAAAATTTTTATGATCAGAAAATTTAATTGAAAAGATAGATTGAATATTTTAAAAAAATTTAGAAAAAAAGAGATGTAATTAAAAATCTAAAGATAGATGAGAGATTTTGAATATTATATGAGAATAGATAGATATATACAAAACTCCTCAAGTATCATAATAAGTATAAAGTAATATTAAAATTTCAAATTTCAAATGAAATATATGTTATAAGTTAGTCCTAAGTTGTTTGTAATATGTTGTGAGTGGATTGTACATCCCTAGAACAAACTATAAATTAACAGGTCATTTTATTATATATATATATAGTTTGAATATAATGTTGAGTATTACTTTATAGAATATAAAATTTGTATAACAAAAGAATGTATCGAATTAAGGTTTTCATTTATTTTTATATTTTTTCTTTTAATTTATGTGGTATAAATATAAATAAAAATATAGGCATAAATAAAAATCTTATGAAACATTTTGTCCAAATGTTTTTTTTTAATATTAGTATAAACAGTAAAAAAGTATAACAAAATTTTTTGAATCCTTTCGTCTAAAAGAATAAAAAATAATGTAAGATAATGATCTAGGGTTCCAAAAAAAAAAAAAACTAAGAATACAATTTAATAATTTGATACATTTTAATGTAATTTATTATTTTTATTTTTCAATTATTGGTTTTTGTTGACATATTTTTAAGTATTTTTAAAGTTTTGACAATCAAGATAAAATGCTAATAGAATATTCTATAGCTAGGTTAGGGGTGACTTAAGAAGTTTATTTTATAATATTTAAGGTTTTATGTGATGTATAAATAAAAATATAATGAAAATGAGATTGATCTAGTTTTTAGAAATTATATTACTAATTATAGATAGAGTTGAATTTACTTGTTATTATTAACCAATATTATGTATTGTCCTATAAAAAATATATATATATCCATTTACTACGTGGAGGATAAATTTTTTTTTTAGTTTATATAAATTGCAGTAATATTTTTTAGGTATCGTGAGATTATAGTACCATCCAAAAATCTAAATATCTGATAGAAATCCCCTATTATACCCTTATTACTATTTTAAAAACCGTAATATGGCAAGAAAAAACAAAAATAATTCTCAAATTCGTAATAGTAATCAATTCAATTCGTGTCATTTGCGGACAAAATACATTATTTTGGCAATAGCTATATCTTAGCTCATTTGCTAGTCAACAAAATCATTAAAGCATATGTACATTAAAGTTAATTATCTTAAAAAAAAAAAAACTTTCCCAACTGGTGGCCTACCCACCGCTTAATTATAACAGTCCCCAAATAATTTACAATTTTATCTGTTTATGAAACAATTTAGGAATCAGCAATTAAACATTTGGAACCAACCAGGAAATCCTGCTGTACAAAATAAATTAGATACTCATGAGAAACACAAATCAGAGCACAAGAACATATAAAAGGAGATTCAATATATCTTTTCTGTAATTTCTTGTTAACTGTACTACTAGCTCTTACTATGTACTCCGGTACAAAGCAAAACCCAAAAAGCGAAAAAGAAAGAAAAAATACTGTAAGATCTGTTGGTGGCCGTATAATCTATGAACACCTTCCCTCATTTCCCAGCTATCTTTATTATTGGAAAATTTATACTAACTCCTAAACTCTAAGATTCAAGAGCAAAAGGTGTCTGCAAAAGATCGTAAGGAGCCCATAATGCATCCAGAGGGCATGGCCGGTTAGCATCTAAGCGAACCCAAGGTTTCCCTTTACCACTCCAATGCAAAAGACTAACTGGACCCGGATGTAAATCCCTGCAAAGACCTCTAAAATTGTCCCCTCCAAGACCGTGTTGATTCCATCTATGATCCACAGCAGCAATATTCCCTGCAAAAACTAGCAAGAATGGAGGCAACGAACCCAGCTCGTAAATCCTCATCCTCTTTTGAAGCTCCATCCATTCAACTATTTTTGTTGTGTAATCTCCTTCTCTCCATCTCTCTAAATCAATCACCATAACTCCAGTGTTAAAATAACACGCATTGCGTCCGGCAAATGTTAAGGAAAGAGAAGGGTTTGCCCAAAATGTGGGCGTAAAGTATGTGGTGAAGTTAGCATTACAATATTCTGGCGCTGCTAACACAGTTCCGGTACCAAGTGGTGTGGCTGCTAGCAATGCAATGTCGTCTACTAGGACTAAATCGGAGTCTAAGTAGACCACCTTCTGCACGCAAAGAGGGAGGATGTTGGCTAGGTAATTGCGAGCATAGTTGAGAGGACAGTCAAGGGCTGAGCGGATGGAGGTGGAGATGAGGCCGGAGACGGAGTAGGTGTCAAAGGAGTAGATTTGAGAACGGAGGTAAGGGAAGGAGGAGGTGATGGTTTCATGGAGGGAGGTGGAGGAAGGGGGCGAAATGAAGTGGAAACGAATATTTTCCGGGCAGGAAGAGTGTTGGAGGATGGAAAGAATGGCGGCCATGGTGCCGCGGAGGTAAGGGAAGTCAAGAGTCATGGCCACGTGCACTGCTTGTTGTGAGCACATGTCTTCGGCGGAGATTGATGGACATGTTGCAGAATTGTAGAACTGTGGGGCTTCTTTGAATCTTTTAGTATTGGCGGTGGCTACAGTAGTGGTGGCATTTATAATAGAGAGGAGGAGAAGGAGGGAGAGGAGGTGGTGTGGTGGTGATTTTAGGCCTAGTTTGAACATAGTTTGGGGAATGGGAAGAGAGATTTAGAAAAGTGAGGAGAGATTTATAATCTTCTTAAAGAAAGAGAGGAAATGCCCACATCTTGGCTTTGAATCCAAGTTGGTGTGTAATAATAAATAAAAGAGGAGAAAATGCCAGGAAGCATAGAAGAGTCAAGGAGTTTGAGCCAAGTCAAGAGTAGCCACACGTTTGTTTGCTGTAATTTTTCAATCAAGTAATTAACCACCGGATATATTTGGCAATGGACGAAAAGGAAAATCTTTATGAGTAGTATTTTATTTGTTATTTGTCCAAATAAATTAGTAACTTTAGACTCGAGAAGATTGATTTGAGTGAAAAAAACTTTAATCGTTTAAAAAATTAAGATCTCGAGTTTGAATATTTATATACGTAAAAAACTCTTTAAATAACTATTTTGTGTTATATGCTCGACAGAACAGTAAAAAATTTAGATCTATGAATTGTCGGAAAATAAAAAAAAATCAGCAACTGTAGGATGTTAGTCGACAAGAAAGGAGAAAGTCCAATTTGGTACCATAAAGTGGTGAGGCCATAGACTTTGCTTGAACAACTTTTGAAAGTAACATTCGATTTCGGATCTTTAATTTGAAGAACATGAATGATGGATTCGTTAAGATTTAAGACAAATTCGTACTCTTATGTCTACGGTGTGTTGGATCTGAAATTTTGCCGTCTAATCTTATTAAAGATTCTAATTATGTTATTATACATAGAGATTTTTCAACTTTCTAAGCCATGTCTCTTTAGTTGACCCATCCACGTCGATGAAAAGCTCCATCCCATCTTCTCAACTCCCGTCTCAACCATTGACAAGTTCTGGTGAGCAAATTCTTTTGAAGACAAGATTTCAAGGAAGAAAAAGGAAATACTTCTAATTAACTAGCAATGAGATACATTGCCAGAAAAGGAAAAGACAGCAATGAGATATAAATGGGACGTATCATAATTGAGTGGATTAGTGAAAAAATGACAAGGAAGAAAAATTAATGCTAATCACTCGGTTTTGATTCGTAGTTTTTTGTTGCCAATAAGATACTCGCATTTGGAGTGAGAATTTAAGATTAAAATCTTAACGTGTTGTTTGGTGATAAGATTTAGAATGATGAGAGCCATAATAAAAGTTTTATTTGTGTTTTGTAGATGTTTGATTGAAATAAATAAAGAATAAAATTTTATATGAAAATTATACATAGATTTATTTTATGCGAAAAATGAAAAAAAATGATAATGAAATATTTTTCTTCAAAATATTGATATCGATATTTTTATTTATTATATATCATTATCCCCTCCACCATCATTATTCTATTTCCATTGCCATAAGGTCAATTTTTTTTTTAAATAGATTATTTCTATATGCTATTATTATCACCATCATCATCTCCTACTGCTCCTTATCTTCCACCATGCACTATTGTGATTATTATCTCTATTATTTTTATGTCTCTTATAGCTGATAAAATTATTTTTTAATAATTATTTGGATTCTTTATTACTATTTCAAGCATGATATTCGAATTTATTTCTTAATTTTTATTCTAATTTTTATATTTTTATTTTGTATCTTTCCTTTTAAGTAACAAAACGACACCAACAAATAATTATAGATGTTACATTATGGAAGTTTGATTTGAGTTGTTATTATAAACAAAGAAAGGTAAATATATTAACAATCAATTAATACAAACTGATTTGGCAATTAACAATTATTTTCCTATTTTACTATATATAGAGATTTATCATTTTTAATGAGTTTGGATGTGATTTATATATATATATATTTTTTAAGAAAATAAGTTCATGGAGTAATTATTGGTAATTACTCTTAAATTTTTCAGATCTTACCCAACTTTAAAGTAGACTAAAATTTTAAAAAGAATTATGCTAAACATCAATTAGAAAAAATGACAGGAAAAAAAAATTAAGATATACATAAACCACTAGATTAGTGAAACCTATAATAATTGGATTCAATGACTCACAATCTTTTTATCATCATCATCATCATTTCTCCTTTAAATGCTCTTTGGACACCCAGCAACCACACTTCTTGTTATCCTAAATTTTTTGTTCTGCCCAAATGAAATTATTTAAGGTGAAATTAAATACATGGAGAAAACCCCAAAAAAGGTAAAATTAAATATTAACAAAAAAATAAAAAAAGCTATAAAAATACACATAAATCATGGAATCAGTAGAATTCACAATCAAATTTCACATCAAGATCATTATCCTATATGACTTTTTTTTTCTCTAAACATGTAGCATTTTTGTCATTTTGAAGTACTCCTACTATCATTTCAATTTGCAAATGAAAAAGCAAATGCACACAATTAATTTGGAAGGTAAATGAAGATGTATACAAAACTCCAATTTTCTTGGTTCCGGGTATTTGATGGATGATTTAAACCCGTCGTTTTCTATAGAAGATCATATGTCATGATCATTTAATTACAAAACCCGAAATTTATGTCCAAAAGCCCGACCACATCACCTGATTGTACGGCTCCCATCTGCCAAAGACTTGATTAGCGGGCATGAACCAGAACCATGTTTAAAAGGAAGACTGCCACGTTGCGAGTTTAGTGGGAGAAATGCACCACGTAGCTTAGTTAATAAAGAGAAAAAAAAGTTGACAAAGATTGAAGCTAGAACTTTGTAGAACAGTGCTTGTGTTGGTGACATGTTTTGGGATCCATGTGATATGTCACACTTGATGGAGATGATAAAAATTATGTGGTAAGGAATTCGGCTTAAGACTTGAGAGAAATCGATAAAAAAAAGTTGACAGAGATTGAAACTGGATAAGGAAGGTTTCATGGGATATCTGTGCTGATGTTGGCGTTGCTGATATTATTCGTCTGAATAGGGAAGTGGCAGTTCCCAATATTAGCTTTGTTAGAAGATCTATAAACTGAGCTGCCACTGTAATGGCTTAACAAGTTTCAGAGATCCAACGTTTTTTAATGTTTAGATTATGCTTCACCTTGCTCATTCAACATCTTATTAGAAGCATGCATGCTTGATGCTTGAATTGTGTATTTAATAATTTAAATTTCTGAGTTAAAATAATTATTTGATATATTATTAGAATCTTGATAATTAAATAGTCATAAATTAGAATCTCATAACTTTCATTTATTTTCTAATTAAAATTAAATAATTAAACATAAGGTAACGAGGATTATGCAAATTTCATGATTCGAAGTATTTTTATTTAAAAAGATGTATTAAAAATAATATAAATTATATTTAAAAATTGTAATAATTTAATTTTTTTGGTTAAAATAGTTTCTTTTTTACAAATAATAATATGCAATTATTTCTTCTTTTGGCATCAATGGACTTGCTATTGGTTTTATTAAACAAAAAAATCATTAACGTTTATATAAGAAACTTGAGGTGTCAATTCGATCATTAAAAAGATAAGTTTCTTCTTTAGCCATCAAATTAGATTTTAAGAAGTAAAATTTTTATGAGTCTTTTACTTTCAGCGTGATAATTTGTTTTTAACTAAATCAAAAAAGATGAATTGAATTCCTATATCTGAAAAATAATTTCAAAGAGATCCCTAATCGTTGATAAACTACATGTGTTTGCACGAGCGTTAAGGACACTAATTAGACAAACTTCTGTAACAAAAAACAATGATCATTTCTCCTAATAAATAAAAATATTTGTATGATATCTTTTGGTTCTTGAAAATTTTATAAGATAGTAAACTTTTTGTTTATAAGTATTTCGCATTCAATTCCTTTGATTCCTTAAATGCAAGTGAAATATATTCTCATTCATTTACACATTATATTTTATGAAAATATTCTTTATGGAAGAAGTCTTCTCTTGAATTAGTCCAATAGAGGATATTAGCTCAATACCCGCGTGTTGCTCGCAGGTAAGTTTATCATATCTATGTTTTAATAGTTTAAATAATTTCAAAATATGAATGTAAAATAAAAATTAATTAACACTCATTGTAAAAAAAATTATTTAATATATATATATATATAATTGAATTTAAATATTTCTTAGGAATATTTTTTATTTTGATAGATAAAAAATATATGCAATTAATTATTTATTTTTTAAAAATCCAATTAGAAGGAGGTGTTTAATCAATTTATATTAGAAGCGTATTTAATTTTAGTTCATGAATATTTCTAAAAATAGAAAAAGTAACCATTGATGATGGAAAAAAATTCTTTTGATTAAATAATAATTAATAAAAAAATCAGCCCGAAAAAAATATGATAGGGACCTTTTGATAATATTAATTAAAATTAAAAATTATTTTATATAAAGTAATAACTTCGAAGACCAAAGTGTAAAATCCTGAAAAATTGACAAATAATCACTTATTTTGTTTGGGAAAATGACGTCGTTTTTAGTCTAAAAGACATAAAACGACGTCGTTGTGGTTTCACCGTAGCAGGGGCTTAGCTACAATTAAACCTGATTTCCTTATAGAATATGTTATAATATACTCCATATAAGAGAAGCCCATTCATTTACCATTAAAAAGAGTTTCAAAAACAACATATATTATTATTATTATTATCTTACTAGTACGTGTACTAGTTACTAAACAGAATTTCGTCGATATATATAATTTGAATTTTTGGATCACATTTCTTGAAAAAAATTAAATTTTATTACTTTCATTTCGAATAGAATAATACTATTTTCAACCTAAAATGAAGATACCTGAAGGGAAAAAACATTTTGAGATTAAAAAAAGTGATTTACAATCAGTTGACAATTAAACATGATTTTTTTTTTTTTTGTCCGATATTTAAACATGATTATTTGTAAATAAAAAGAAAAACAAACAAATAAACATGCATACAGAGAGATTTAAACATGATTGTTGAAAGAATGTTAATTAAGATTAGATCAAATAATGGTCGTCTTGACAAGAACCAACTACGGAACGAAAAAGGTGGCAACCCTTCATTATTAGGGATCCATTGAGGTAACA